CGACTAATTACCAAGATTAATTAATAAATATATCGGGCGTGACGGGGACCTGGTGTTGGTGCGATTATGATTAAATAAACGAAAGAAATCGGACGAAAAATACAATCAGACGTAACCTCGGAGCTCGCTCTTATTCAGCGTTAACTTATCAATCCAATAATTAAATCCCTAATGAGTGGAAATCATTACTACAATAATTGCGTCAGTTGATTATTGGAGCCCCGTTATCGCTGTGTGGGCAGATTGATTAGTAATAATTAGAACATTTCTAAATTACTGTCATATTGTTGCTGTTGCAACCGTAACACCTCGTTAAGACAATTCTCAGAGAAAACCACATTTCCTTCAGGTCTCTTGCAAAACTCAGTCCAAATTCGCTCGATCTAGACTACATTTCAAAATTTAAATAATTTAATTAATTTGTTACTAATCGTTTCCTTTCCCGACTTGACAATTACACAATGTGGTAATTATGATTTATGTGAACGCATAATTTTCACAAACTGTTTGACAACTCGTCACTTGGAAAAACAAACATTTCAAAACTTTCACGGTCGATGACAAAATTAACAAAAAAATCGAAATTTGTTTTCTTTGTTGTTGTGGTCGCTACAATAAAATTGCGAAATTAAACAAAACTGGACTGAATAAATGTTAATATTTTGTTGCAATAAATAACGAACCTTGTTTGATTAAAAAAGAAATTAATTATTCCGCGCGCAAATAAATTTTATTAAAAACACATCAACGGATAATGAATATGCAAAGTACGATTTTATTTAGTTGTTTATGTTTGCGTGGGGTATCTGTGTGATGATTCTTGAGTTGGTCTTTTCAGTTGCGTAACAAGTGAAAGAAGCGTTAATTAGAATTAACTCAATTTAATTAAATTGCTCGTTAAGATGGTAATGTAATACATGCACTGAAATGAAGAGGTTATTACAGTAATTACAATGTTTCATTGCGGAATAAGAGCTGATGAATAATAAAAAAGCGCGCTGGAATTAACACTGGAAGATAAATATTTATATGGTTCAATTAGAATAGAAATAAATCTGTTGCGTTTCAACAAAAGCAATCAAAAATCGGGTGGTCCCCCGAAAAACGCCCCACCTTTTACCATGAATGATTAATATATTTATTGTGTGTTTATCGTTTAATATATATAAAGTTAAAAGCAATTACGCGAGCAGATTAACAAAACGTTGAAATAGTGAATTTGAATAATTAATTATCCGGCGTTAACAACGTGAAGCCCGCCAGTTTCGTACTTTAATTAATTCTATTAAAAAATCCATTTTTACATAAACCGTAATTATAAGCAAATTACGCCAAGAGAGAAAAATATTTTTCAATAATAAAAACATGACCGGACCGACGGTTGAGGTAATTGAAAGAAAAGTCCGAAAGACGGCTGTAATCACACAATTAAAGCAATTAACTAGTCGCAAACCTTTGCGAAGTAAGAAACTAGAACAACACGAACGAGGAAATCAACATCCAGAAGCTCTATTAAAATCCAGCAGCTTTTAATTTTTTGCAAACTCATTTTTCCTAAAACGTTTTGAAAAATCTTGGAAATTCTCTTGAAAAACCAACTCTGCTTTTATAAAAAAATACTGAAAATAAATATCGTTTTTCCCTTATAAGACAATTTAATTCAAAAAAATAGAATATTTGCGTAGAAAATAGGTTTTTGTTTCCCCCGTTTATCGCTTTTGGGTAAATCGTTGTGCCACCTGTCCCAAATCCAAACATCCTCCCCGAAATCGCCCCAACTTCCTGCCGGGCCCGTCATAATAATCGTGTAAGGTGTCGAGTAAATTTGTAACTATTTGTTACATCCTGCGTACATTCCCGCCCTCAGTTGTCGCTATTAATTTCATGAGCTTTTTTTATTTGAGTCGGCGAACTGTTAATATGCATTCGTACTTCCGGCCTTTTTGCATCGCGCCAATCCGTCTTTGTCATGGCGTCATGTGTGATGTTCTTATCACATCATTAGAGTGTGGGATTGTCTTGGATATAATCCAGTTTTGAGCGTTTTTCAACCCTCTTGAAGTCGATACGCGCGATTTGTGGCCGTTTAGCCGAGAGTTATCGTCGTCGAGCCGTGAATACATCAAAGGTGTACGTGTGGTTTTTACGTGGATGCGAAAATAGAAGGTTCACACGTTAGCGACTAATGTGTTTTTAACTAACGTCTCTTCGAAATACATTAGGAGAGGTAATTATCGAGGCATTGTTCGAAGAGGTGCTAAAAGACAACAGAGTGCCTTCATATAACGAGCCGAGGAAATAAGAGGGGTTTTGGGATTTTCTTCCAAATATTTAAGAAATTTTGGAAGCGTGTCAACAATAACACACGAAGAATATTTTAGATTTATGGACGAGAGTGACGAGCCAACTCTTATTGCTAAAATTAATGATAATGATTATTATGATGAGCTATATTTGAGAAATTCAAAATGGTTTTTCCAAAAATATCCACAATTTGGTTCAAATATGTACAGGCTGAGCCACAACTCGCGCCCTAGAGAAAAATGTAAGATAAGATACCAGGAACATGGAACAAATGTTTAAAAAAATCTATCTATAAAAACTTCGAAGTTATGAGAGTTTAAATTTTACACTTTAACTCTTATTTATTTCTGATGAAAAAGTAATTTTCCAAGTTTTTTTTGCTACAGGCTGGAAAGAGGAAACAAAGAAGCTGTATCCTAAACTGTAACTCCGTTTAATGTTATTTGTGGTTTTTACTGACAAAATAAATTTTTGTACTTTCACTAAATAATTATAAAAAAACATATACAAGATCATCAATATCATTAAGTAGACATAAAATAGATGTCTAATTTTTTTGACGGATAGAATTTTTTAAACATTTTTTCCATATTCCTGGTATCTTATCTTACTTGAAATTTTTCTCTGAGGCGCGAGTTGTGGCGCACCTGTAGGTCCCCCGGTTTAATTGGTTGGACTTCAAATAATTTTTGAATTTTTCCCGTTATTTACATTTTTTTTAATATTAGGTAAGTACATTTTCACCATTTTATTTTTGCTTCATTATTGTAAAAGTAAATTTTTAAAAACTGTTTTCTACCAACTTTGTTTAAAGTTTAAAATAATTGGGACATCCTGTATACAAGATGAATATAAAGTATGGAACCAAGCGTTTTTATTTTTTAATCATTTACCTACAGAAAATAATAATCAATATAAATTAGAGTAATATAAAAAATGTGATCATATTTTGAGAACGAAATTTTGTTTTGTTTTTCATTTTTATTTTTTTTGTCAAAATTGCAATTTATGTAAAAAAAATTTTTTGAAAAAATTA